CACATGAGTCCAGGACCACATGAGAAGCTGCTGCACTCAGACCAGGTCCAGGATTTGTCAAAAAGATGAGAACTGGAGCTGACTTCAGTCTGGTGTCTTTCTGTTGTTAGACCTCCTCCTCCTCCTGCTCCTCCTCCTGCTCCTGCTCCTGCTCCTCCTCCCACCATGTTGTCATCTGCCATGCGCAACTCTCCTGTGAGAACTCACATGTGGTCCCACTTCCCAACACCATTTATGTGTTTCTGACCCATTTTACCTTCCCCCATCAGTGCTGGCCATCCACATTTGTCGATGGTGCTGGCAGGTATCACCATCTGTTGTTCAGTCTGGCCATAGTCCATCTCTGTTGTCTCCTGTAGTTAATCTCTTTTCTATACATGTGTCAGTCAGTTTAGTTTGGCAAACAGGCGAATGCTTCTGATTTTGATGTTATGCTGTGTGAAGCTGAGTCTATCCTTAAAAGCATAGTGGGCTGGTTTTGTATTGAAGCTCTCACTGGTTTGCAATACATCAGAGACACAGCAACGGTGTTTAAAAAAACAACACCTTTGGACTGATTTATGAATGTTTATGCAGCTTTTACTTGGATTGCCTCAGTCAGTAAATGGCCAGTAAAAACCTATAAAGAAATAAAACAAATCCTGCATCTCAATGGACTTTTACCTTTCTCCACTGAAACCCATATGAGCACAAGTGCATCCAGTTTGTACATCAATACTTGTTTAATGGTAGAGGAAGAGGATTTGTGTGTCTGGTTTTATTTTTCAGTGCCACAGTAATTTAGAGAGGTCCAGTAACACAATGGCAGTTTACTGTGTATACTTAATACCTGGTTTTGCCTCGTATGAACTTTAGCCTGTTTTGTTCCTGTGTCTGTGTGTGATTGAATGTTTTGTTGTGGGTTCATTGAATCAGTCAGTAATTATGAGGCAGGTAGAGGCAGGTCGATATATGTGCGCGTTTCTCCGGTTATACAAGCTGTGAGGAAAACTTTCTGCGTCTGTCTGTGGTTTGCTGACAGTTGGTGTGTGTGCTATTAAGCGATTAACAGTGCAGTGGTTAGCACTGCGTGTATTATCAGGAATATTGACAAGTATCGTACTCTACGCCTGACCTTATATTCCACCGCAGTACCTTTTAATGACAGCTAATGGCCATTTAGGCATTAAATGGTATGATGCATGGGAGCTGCAGTAGGGAGGATTGCTCCAAGGGTACATTGAATGTTAATAGTATTGCATAAAGACTTTATTTTGCCACACAACTTGTTTCAGTGGTCATTTAACATTTTCCAGTAACCCTGAATGCTTGGTGTTAGACGGTAGGCGACAGCATCTGGTCGTCTGCATAGAGAGTTTCTGTCTGCATGCTTTAAGCACCAGGAGGCTGTTTCTGAGGGGCACTAAACAGCAGACTGCAGTTACATCTCTGAGCCAGTTGCCCACTCTAGTTATAACAGCAGTTATCAATAATGTATAAGATGTACTTTTGCCTATTCATTTTGCTCATATCCTTTCATCTGCCTCCAAGCAGCGATGGCTCAGTGCCACCTGACTGTTGCATACATTTTTTAGCACTGCAAAGCAATCCTTTTATATACTCAATGCAATGACACAACATAAAAAGTCCACTAGGCCCAGATGAAGTGCAGATATAAGCTGCATTTTCCATTAAGATATGATCAGCAACACTCTGCATACAGTAGCTCACATTGTAATATCACTTTTAGTCACATTTAGTCTATCCCATACCATCCTGTCTGTAATATACGATATCTAATATAGGCTGGATGTGATGCATATTTGATACATACCGTTTTGATATAAATATTTACTAAACATACAAAGAATAAAAGGATTAGTGATACCTTTTCCTGCTGTAACAGTCAGCTGTGAAAAGGGCCTATATCAGGGCCCTGACACACCTGTAACCATTATCAGTGTTATTATTATTAACAACTGTGTTCTTACAGGAGTTAGAAATGTCTGTCCAGGATCATCAATGTTAAGTTTTGTGAATCTTGATAAATTAAGACGTCCGTAAACTGATTGTCAGTGAAACCTACTTAACATTTGCCCTTAGCAATACATGAGCAATGGCATGCACCACTAGATGGAGCCAGAGCAAAGGGTTCCTTAATCCTTTATATACTGTATATGGCCTTATGCAAAGGAGTAAGCTGTGTGTATCCTGCTCTCTGACCTGGTCTGGTTAAGTCAATGTAGACTCTTGGGATTGTGAGTGGAAACTTTCCTTCACCGAAAATGACTTTGGTTTTGATTTTATCATCCTAACCCTTTTAATATTGTTGTGATGCAAATCTGTACCAACAATACAAAGACAGCTGTTACAATATGTCCTCTCTTGGTGTCTCTAAATATTTAAATGTGTCATCTGTTTGCCAACAGCTTGCAGTTAATCTGATTACAATGCTATTTCTTCATACAGTATAACACATCTCCCCTTTCATCCCCTCTAGGCCTGCTGCTGGACCTGGTCCTGGTTGGCATTGTTAAGGCAGTGGTGCGTCGGCGTCGGCCAGCACACAACCGTATGGACATGTTTGCCACCTTTTCTGTAGACCGCTACTCCTTCCCTTCAGGCCACGCCACCCGCGCCGCCATGTGTGGGCGGTTCCTGCTGGCTCACCTGGTGCTGGCTGCCCCACTGAGGGTCCTCGTCCTGCTGTGGGCTGGCCTGGTGGGACTGAGCCGAGTGCTGCTGGGCAGGCACAACGTGACTGACGTGATGTTTGGGTTCTGGATGGGCTATTGCCAGTATAACCTAGTGGAGATGTTGTGGGTCTCACCTCAAACCCTGCAAGGGCTGCTTGGACAGTTGGCTTAATATTACGGACTGAGAGAGGAGGAGACATGGTGGTTTAAATCATGGTTTTAAGAACGCCTGCACATCCTTTTGTCTTTTAGACTGAGAGATAAAAGGGTTTGTCTTTTGACTAGAGAAGAGAGCTCTCTCAAACGGTTTTATTCTGCTCTTATCTGACACTCAAGTTAAAAAGCCCACTTCAGCTCTCACTTTAGGTTGCAATGAGCCTGCCTGTAATAAATAGTACAGAAATTTAAAACAAAAAGACCAGTGGGAAACAAATTTGTACAGATGACCCCCTGAAGCCACCTCACTCTCCTCACTGGCCTGAATCACGGACAATATAAAGTCAAAGCCTTTTTAAGTCCAATAGTTGTTTTGGACGCTGGTAATTATTTAGACTGCATGTATACATTCATTGCTGATGAAGTAGTAGTAATAATAATTTTACATCGCAGTGGGTTAAATACTTAATGAAAATTACTGTCTTTGAATACAGAAGAATACAAATAGCCCTCTTCAACTAAGCTTTTCTCAATTGAGGCAAAAGTCAACAGCAATAAGTAGTAAAATTAGTGGGACTGTAACCTGATTGCTCTGTGAACAAACCCTGATGAAATTCCTTGTTTAGACTGTCAAAGTGTCCAGCAGCAACTGCGGTTAACTAACTGCTCACAACTGTAACAAACCTATTTGGTTCACAGATATTTCACAGACAGTATGCCCCTCATGTTATTTACTCCATCTAAGCCAGTGCCTTTGGAGGAAACCCAAATTACCAAATATTGCTCTTTAATTATTAAAATATTTCCCTTATACAAAAGCCTTACACCTGATTTCCTAATTTAGGAAAGAGAAGTGTGTGGGAATCTTCTCTTCTCTAGGCATTGGCAGTTTCAAATAGCATAATGAGAAAGAAGACTGTCATCAAGTACAATACATTAATTACATTTGTCAGTAAAAGGAAGGAAAGCTGCATATTGAATATACTTGGGTCTTCAGAAGTAGGGTGTTACGTACCATATTTTTACATACTGTAAACAACCCATTCACTAAAAATAACCAGCTGAGCTGAGAAAAAAAAACACAGTTTGGCTCACAAATGTTCTGTTTTGCTGACTAAAAACTATGGAAGACTTTCACTTCCTGCTGGAATACAACAGAACTTAATTTAAAGGGCACAAAAGTCACAGGTTAATTAGCTTTTGACTGATTCACATTGTTGTAGAACATTTTTTCCACCCCTTTTGTACAAAACTAAGCTCTTTATTACATGAGCAGATGGACTGGTTGCACAGCAGATATTTTGACTTGTCAATGCCAGAAAAACAAATGTGGACCTAATAACAGTACCATTAAGTGATGACTCAGTTCCATTAAGTGTCCCCAGTAACAGTGACATTACAGTTGTCATTGGCTACAGTCATTAACCCATTTACTAAATCTTAAAATCTATTATTTATTTAGATAAATAATTATGACCTTTTTATGATAACAATCACAGAATGCACCCACTTATAAAAAACATATTTTCCTATCACCTTAAATCTTAAAACGAAATCTTGCTAGAATTCTGCACTGTGAAAATACTTAAGACACTGGCATTTTAATTTATTTTTTACATTTACTTTTCTTTTCTTTTTAAGCTCCAGATTTGCTTGCAACTGCTACAATGATTCTGGTCTCACAGAGAAATATACACTGATTATTCATTAGTAGACATTTAAAATAATATTGTACCAGAATGTGTAACCACGTTATTTCCCATTAGCGCCACGGCAACACGCCGTTCCTTTAGGATCAGGTTTGGGTGAGTGGAGTTAGGACGTGTGTTGTAATGACCTGGTGTGCTGCCAGGTTTCATGAATCAGTGATCAGAATTTAAAGGCAGTTCTGAAGTTTTGTAACCAACTACATGATGATAGTAAGTGAAGATACTGTAAATACAGTACAAGGTGCTTTAAAAAATGAATTAGCACACACGCTTGTACCTTAACTTGAAGACCATTTTATGAATGTAAAGAAAATCCTGGCCATAATTACTCTTCTACTAACTAACTAATAATGTGTGGATAGATCGTGATTCAAATCTTTTGTGTTTCAGTAGTCTTTTAAGTTCTCAGTTGGAGATGCACAAAGGCAATAATCTGTAAATGCAAGTGTTGAACTGTTGGTGCTCTTCCCACAGTTTATATTCGATGAAGAAGTAACATTTTAACCTACTGAACTGGTCTTGAATCTTAATGTTAGTCACAGATGTGACTGTGACTTTGGGTGATTGAGGCTGTCTTTAGATCAGTGGTTTTGACTTATGCCCCACTGCAGGTGGTGGTAGATGACCAGGGGAAAAATATGGAGTACAACCAAGTTGAATGAATGTAATTTCTTTAGAATAGTTTTGGTCCCCCATTGTTAATAATTGCGACTATCGTGTGTGTGGGTGTGTGTGTGGGTGTGTGTGTGTGTGTGGGGGGGCGCGTTAATGATTAATCTATTTCCACGCACTGACCCACCGATTTGGGGTTGTAAGGTGAGATCCAACATTAATATTGAACTTTAAATGACGCCAGTGGTCCAGATGTTGTAACACTGATGGGTGTTTGACATTAGAGTAGCATGTGAACAGTTGTGGTTAACTGATTTGTGCCCTTGCAAGTGTTTGCTGTCTGTACCACTTCTGAAGAGCAAATGTGACTTTTCTGGGACGGATTATGTGTCATTCAATAAATAATTTTGCTGACTTGCAACTGACCATGAAATCAGAATTAGCCTACACACACGTCATTGTCGATAGTGGGAGTTGAAGGGTATTTTACCATCTTAAATCACATTTTTCCTCACACTTATCAAAAAATTTGACTGTTGGGGAGAACTGCTCACATTTTTCCAAAATAAGATGTTGAGCTGGGGTTTAAAGAAAAGTGAAGGAAGTGCTGTGCATGTGTTATTGTACCTTATCCATTCATTCACTACATGCACACAGTTGCACACAGCGGGACTGTACTGTAGTCTTCCACTCTGTGAAGTTGGACAACAGTTGTCTTGGTTTCACTAACTTAACACACACACACACCTTGGCACTGCCAGAAAAAAACAACTTATTAATATACAGGTGCATCGACATTTCTATGTTTGTTGGTCTGTTTTAATTTGTGTATTGATTAGGAATATGATCAGATAAGTGGTCATATGATATCTCTGTAAATGTGTGATGTATGAACTATTGTTAAAACTTTTTTTGATAGAAAGAATGTTCAGTTTTCGTGCCTGTAGTTTTTAAAAATATCGTGCATTTTGACTGCAAGCCATTGGATGTGGTTTGTACCAGATGGTCCAAGGCAGAGCCAGATATCTGGTATGAGCCAACATAATTTAACAGACTAGTCCCTGGTACACTGGTGCCCCATTGTGGACTGTTTCATTGACCTCGTACATGCTGTGCCCTCTCTCTGCAATAATTGCCCAATGCGGGTGATACGATGACCTGTGAGCGAGGTGGTAGCTTCCAGACTTTTTATTTCATTACCCTTTTGTCGCAAATCGAAATATGCTGGACACTGAACTCTGTGACCAAACGATTTTTATGATTGATTTCTGTGTTGTTTTACACGTTGATATTGAGATCATGCAGAAGCCTAAGAAAAAGATATTCATATCAGTGATTACAGAATAGATTTTGCACATTCCATACGTCACCTGTTTACTTAAAGGTTGAGAAACGCCACCATAAAGAAAGATGCATTTTGTTTGTTTGTTCAGCTTTTAAAGATTGTACGCAAATGCCACATCTATTCTTGCACATTGTCAAACATGAAGCCAGCTCCAGTTTATTTCACTGCACTCAGTTTTGCCTGCTAAATACTATAGATTTAACTGTGTTTCCTGTATAGACCTTATTCTTAATGTATATACATATGCCTGTATGGTAATGTGATTACACTGTTATGTTCAGTGGATTTGAATGCACTGTTCCATATTCCCGGAGAAGTTATTCCTGAATGATTTGATTGTAATGATTTTTAATTAAATGGGGAACAAATGTGAAACTGTCTCATGTCTAGATAGATAGATAGATAGATAGATAGATAGATTTGTACAGTCGTTACTCAATTACTCATCAAACGTCATCAGCTTGATTTAACTGCGAGGGCACAAATTGAACTTTAGTCAAAGTCAAACACATTTTTTTTGCGTAGCTTAACTTGATAGTCTCCTTTTTTGGGCTAGATTGGAGAGAAAAAAAGAGAAAAGAATTCATCTCTTCTGTCACCACCTCAGTATAAAAGTCTGTGCTCAGGTAATGCTCGTCCCAACTGACTGGCAGAAAAACCCACACACAAGGATCAAGGTAAGAAGGAGAGCTGATGCTTCTGGTTCATTTTACTGCAGTAAACGTTGGTAATATTTTAGTGAGATGTGTTATGTATGTGCATATCAATTTGATTGAACTGCAACATGACTGATTCAAACAAGAAAATCAAATATGATCATCAAATAAGTAAGGCTGATTTTCACATTTTGATACAATCACAACACTCAATAATGTAATTGTGTGGGAAAAGGTTTTCAGCACAATAAACAGCACACAATATTGCACAGCTTTGTCTTTTCAGCCAGTAGATCAGTTACAGTGTTCTCAAAGAAATGTAACACATTTGAAATTAGGGGGTCGATAAATGTTAGGACTAAACCAATAATGACTTTCTGCCATATGCAATCGGAAATATCTATAATCAATAAAGCAATTCTATAATCTAATGCAAGTTTTATTGGGAACTAGTGCAAATATGTTAAAATATCTGATCTACCTTGCTTATTCTACTGTAGGTAAAGGTTTCACTGGAGCATTTTAAATGAATAAGATTGAGCTTTACCTTTTCTGCATGAAAACAATATAATTAAATTAAATTCTTGGCACAATATCTGAATATAGTGCATATTACTGAACCGTCTAATAGGTGACAGTGGCTGCGACTGACAGTTACACATTTGGAATTTGACTCTGATGATGAGTTAAAAAGCTATTTTTCCTTCATGCAGCTCCACCATGGTGCGCAATGTAGCAGTGATCGGGGCAGGCCCCTCCGGTCTGACCAGCATGAAGGCTTGCCTGGATGAGGGCCTGGTGCCAACATGCTTTGAAAGCAGCGATGACTTAGGCGGACTGTGGAAGTTCAAGGCAAGTTCCCGAGCCAGAATAAGTTCTGCTAACAATCATTTTGTGCCCCAAGCTAAGTGAAACTGGGTGAGGATGGGGTTGCTGTCAATCCTAAACCGCCATGTTTTCTGCCATTTGAAACTTCTTCTCTGCAGGAAGTGTCAGAACCCAACAGGGCCAGTATCTACCGTTCCCTCACCATCAATATCTCCAAGGAGATGATGTGCTACAGTGACTTTCCAATCCCTGCTGATTATCCCAACTACATGCATCACTCTAAAATCCTGAACTACTTCAGGATGTATGCAGAACATTTCAAACTGCTGCAACACATTCGCTTCCAGGTAACAAAATCCACACAGCAGAAAGGAGTGTGTGGTTCATTAAATATATTGCTGCAATTTGAAACAACATCTATAAACTAATCTACTGTATTTTATTATGCATTTTAGACCTCAGTGAAGTGTGTCAGACAGTCATCAGACTATTCTCGTACTGGTAAATGGGAAGTGGTGACTGAGAATAGAGATGGACAGGAGGAGAGGCACATCTTTGATGCAGTAATCTGCTGCTCTGGTCATTACACCTACCCTAACCTGCCACTCAAAGACTTTCCAGGTAAAGACATTTTACCCAGGCTTGCATCAAAGTGAGTGAGTGTCTTGCTCCTGGCATAAGAGTAACAAAATATATGAAGACATGATTCTGCTGTGCTGCAGGAATTGAGACATTTGAAGGGAAATACTTCCACAGCTGGGACTACAAGGGGCCTGAAGACATGTACGGGAAGAGAGTGGTGGTCATTGGCATCGGTAACTCGGGCGGCGACATCGCTGTGGAGAGCAGCAGAGTGGCAGAGCAGGTTGGGAAGTCTTTTCTGATTGCTCTTGTCTTCTTTTGATTAAAGTTATCTGATTTAAAATAATTTATGTGTCTTTGTGTCTGTCTCGTGCTCTCGTTCTGCAGGTGTATATGAGCACTCGTCGTGGGGCCTGGGTCATCCGTCAGGTTTCTGACAACGGCCTGCCAGTGGACATGAAGTACAACACGCGCTTTGTCCACATCTTGTTCCAGCTGTTGCCAATTAACGTCCTCAACTGGATTGGTGAGAAGAAACTCAACGCCATGTATGACCACACCATGTATGCCCTCAAACCCACACACAGGTAGGTGCTGTCAGGACCACACAGATTATTTATCTACATAAAGTGTGACCTCCTCATGTTGTTACTGAGGTGTGCAGGCAATGAAGTCAGTCACATTTAAGCTTGTATAATCAAGAAAAATGCGTTGGATGTTGAAAGTCTGTAAGGGATATAATATATAATGATATATAATGTAACTTTACCTCTGTCATTATCAAAATATCTTAATCTTTCCCTTGTCATCCACTCCACCGTTTTCTGCTGCCTCATCAGACTCTTCAGTCAGATCCCAGTGATCAACGATGACCTGCCTTTAAAGATTCTGTCTGGGTCGGTCGTTCTCAAACCAAATGTGAAGGAGATCAGTGGCTCCACCGTGGTGTTTGATGATGGCAGCATTGTGGAGAAGGTCAGAGGAGTTTGTTTCCAAGGACACCCTGAAGAATATTTCTATATTTCAAGCACAATTTCTGTAACTTATCTCTTCCCTGTTACAGGTGGACACGATTGTGTTCGCCACAGGTTACAGCTATGATTTTCCGTTCTTGCCGAGAAATGCTATGTACAAGTCTGGGCACCGTGTGGGTCTGTACAAGCATGTTTTCCCCCCCGACATGGAGCATCCCACTCTGGCTGTTGTGGGTTTCATCCATGCCCTTGGAGCCATCATGCCCCAGGCTGAGATGCAGGCCCGCTGGGTCACACGTGTCATGAAAGGTGAGGCTGCATGTTTCGTTTATAACTATCTACTAGTCTAGATACTTTCCAATCACATGTTTATTTACCTCTGTCCATCTTCTGTATTTTGCTCTGCAGGACATAAAAAACTGCCATCAAACCAGGCCATGATAAAGGCTGTTGAGAAGGACACCAAGGATATGGAGAAAAAGTAAAGCTCACAATATTCCTTTGCCTGATTATTTGTAGTTCTTGTCCCCTTTTCTGTCATATCCCACATACATTTGATTATGTATTTTTAAAGATGGCACCTGGATTCATATTTTTGGCCACTTGGGGCCAGATACTGATATGTTCTAACTATTTGGTGTTTGGAGTAACATATTAGCAAACAGTTGCCTATTACACATCTAGCAGACACAAAGTAACATTAGCTTTCTTGTGCTGTTTCTGGTCACTTAATGAATGTAAGTCCGATCTGCAGCTAGGAAAACCAAAATAATGGAACTAACTAACAAAGACACAAATGCTTTCACATTAAACATAATCATTTGAAACATTGTTAATATAAAAGTATCGATTGTTGGAGCTTTAAAGTGACAAAATCATAATCGACAAAACCTTCTGTGTGAGATTTCTTACATTTATTTCTGATTTATCCTCTCCACAGCTATATTGTGTCCAAGTTGACTCCCCTGCAGGTGGACTTTGTTTCCTACATGGATGAAATAGCAGGAGAGATTGGGGTGCGGCCAAGTCTGCCCTGGCTCTTCTTCACAGACTACCCACTGTTTAAGAAGGTTCTGTGGGGACCTGTCACAGCTTACCAGTACCGGTTGATGGGACCAGGGAAATGGGATGGAGCCCGCAGAGCAATCTTCACCCAGTTTGACCGCATGTACCAGCCCCTAAAAACCAGACAGGTCTGATATAATTCTACATTTTGTAAGCCTTGCATGAAATGCTGAATGTATGCATTGTGGCAGACTGTCTGACAAAATTTAAACATACATTTTCCCTTCCTGTCTCTTCCAGCTAAAGGAGCAAGATGCCTCTATCGCTGGCCGCCTGATAAAGTTGAGCCTGACCGTCATGGCTGGAGGAGCTTCTATCTATTACATCCATGTGCACAACCCAAACACCATCCCCACCCTCCTGTCCAAGCTCCGTCCACAAACAATCTAAACCTGCTCCATCAATTAAATGATGTGGGAAAAAAACCCTGAAACACACAAAACAAATACCAAATATATTGTTTCTAGATCCCTTGAGAAATCTAGTTCAATATACTCCTCTTCGGGTTGTGATTATGGGAATGATTGTTAGAGTCACTGTCTGAGCTACTGATTATTGCTAGCAGTCTTACTGTATCTACATATATATTTCGTTTATTTAAATGCCTAAACCTTTTATATGGCAACTGTTTAAAAAAAAGTTACAAAATATGTTTTACAGGAAACATATTTGAAATTTGGTGGATTGTTAAAGTTCCTGCACAACAACCAGATGTATTTATGTCATATGTTACTTTAAGCCAACATGAACGTGGAGTGTTTATCCTGTGTGAATAAAATATATTACACGTCTCATCTGAGTGTGGTCTTTTGTCAAGCAAACAATATAATAGAATAGTAAGAATATAAGTGCAGTACATCAAGATAAAATAAAAAACTGTACCTACACATAACTCTACATAACTGCACACAAATGATCCACTGACACTGGTATTGTAACTTATTTTGGCTGCATACATCTTCTCAGGACTGTGTGGGCGTGTACAAACAGTTTGATTGACAGTCCCCACACTGCAGTTCATTTTGTTGCATCTGTTTGGGCAGTACAAATTACACCTTTATTATATCTATTGGCACATTACCAAAGGCTGGAAACACCTTACTCAGGGCCTTCGGGAAATTGTGCCTATCATCCAAACTATTAGACCAATTTAATGAAAGGTTTACTTGTACATTCATCTCTTCAATACTGGTGTGTATTTACATCTCCCATTGACGTCCTCGTCTCAATGAGCCCCCAAGTGATACAATTTGTGAAATACACAAAGATTATCTGAAGTTGAGATCCACCTGCTCTCACACACAACACAAAGAAAGTGTTGCTTTAAGAAAGTGGGCTCAGTTTGAGCTGGTGAAAGCACTTTTCACCACATTTAAAATCCATTCCTGCCTGGCTACCACACACCCAACTAAGAGTAAATATATATATATAAAAAAGAAATGAACCAACACACTGTATGTAGTAGGCCACAGTACAATTTTCAATAAAGAACATCAAATGTTCAGTAGTTACTAAGAAACAATCAAATGAGGAACAAATGAGGAACTGCTAAGGAACCATTAATTAATGAGTAAGTGAAACACTACTTTATAGAGTAGCTAATGACTAGTTTATTAAAAAAAAAGAGTGAGGAACAAATCAGGAACAACTTGATCATTTTTTAATAAGTACTTCCTAATGGAGGACGGTATAGTGGATAATGATCAGTTACCAGAGAACAGACTGGGAGAGCCTATATTAATGAATTATTAGGTAATTATTAGTTCAGTAGTTACTCAGTAGTCCATCATTACTTCATCATTACCTTATTACTTAATATTTTAGGGCCCTTCAAGTAAAGTGGTGCTTCATACTGAGTAGTTACTGAATACTGAATCCTTACTTATACATGTCAGTCTGTTTCTTACTTAAAGGGTTCTTTAAAATCTGGTGGTGAGCATTGCTGTGAATAAACCAAGGAGTCAAAGAGTTTCTTAGCAGGTAAATACACAACCAATTTATTGTGCTGTTTTAACAAGGTAACACTTCACTGCTATAGACTCAAATATTATAAATAAAATGTCCAATACTAAAATCAGGGAAGGTCAAGTCCCAATACTACTGTTCAATACTGTCCGTGAGTCTTGCTCTGCTCCTGTGTTGCGTTGTAACCCTCTCCTCTACTGGCTGGCGACATCGCCTCTCGAGTCCGTCTCGCCTCCATGTTGTTCCTCTCCCTCTGTGCTCTGTCTCAATGTCTCTTCCTCTGTTGTCCTGTGTCTCTCCTGTTTGCGCCCGTATATGTTCCTTGATTCACCTGCCTCATATCCGATTGGGCAGTTCAATTGTCTATCAAGAGTCAGAGGTGAGCAGGTGCTGGTTATTAAGGCAAGTGTCAGGCATGGAAGTCAATAAAATAAATATATATATAAAACATGAAATAAATAAGCACAATTAAAACGCAACATAAAGAGTTGGAAATAATACTTCGTTTATCATTTGTTATTAAAAAAATAACACAACTATATAAGAGACTTCTTGTGTTTCATTTCTTTAACTGGTTATTTTCTGTGATTTCTAAGGCCTACTAAGGCCAATATTATTCCAAATATGTGACAACCACATTATTTAATTTTTCATACAGTGTGACTATAGCTTGCAGATGTGTGCAGCAGCCAGGAGGAGGAGGAGGAGCCGCCGGTTGTTTGGGGGAGGAACTTCCGCCCTCACCTCAGATGAAGTCGGATGACGAACGAAAATCGACGTATTTTCGTTGCTGCTGAACTTTATCTGTATTTTACAGGTTAGTAGTTGGTAAAACAATCCCTAATGTCAACTTACTAAAGCCTAGCTTTATACATCCAAGTGTTCTAAATATATTTTGACAATTTTGGGCATTTCTGTCGCACACAGTTCAGGCCAACATGTGGACAACTGCTGCACCTTGATGTTTGCGTTTCTGTTAGCTGAGTAAAGTCTGGCAGGTCGGTTGGTTTTAGGTTTATTTAGTACTTTTATTTGGGCTCCTACATGTATGCTAGCTTAAGGAAATGTTATATATTGCAATGTGCCTTAAAACAAAACAGTTATTGATGTTGTTAAATGTTAAAAGAGCTGCATTTATTTGTGTAGAATATTTATATGTTAATAACCCTGTCATCTTTTAGTCACCGCCTAATGGTTTAACATCAAAAATGTTCTGTATTTTTCTGAGTGGTAGCTGTGTGTAAAGTGAGTGTGTAAGTCATGTTATGTACAGGAGATTGTGCGTCCTAAAATGCTGCTTGAAGCAGAAAACTGTAAGAAGTAGCCTACATCATTGATGTGAGGTAGTAATAGTTGTGAAAACATTCTGTGAGATGTGGATTCACAGATGTTATGTGCACTTGTTTCACATGTATGGACTGACACAGACTGGCACTCCCATTGTGAAATAAAGGAAACAGATGCACTCTGAATGGAAGACTGAAAGCTCTGTGTCTTCATTGCTGTTGAACTTGTATTTTACAGATGTCTCTTTGGTTGCTGTGGTACCAACTCTGGGACCTGCGAAATTCATTTTATAACCATACAGTTGTTATAATACATGCATGTTTGAATTCATCATGAAGTAATAATGGATTACTAGTAAACATGTTGTCAATAGGGGAAAATGGTTACTAAAGAGAGGATGATTCTTTGATGTATTTTAAGTAGCCTAATAACTTATTTGTTATTTAATAAAGTTATTTGTCAGTAAGGGTGAAGAATCACTTAGGGGAGGAAAAGCAGTCCTGGTAACTAATGGGCAGGTACTTGTGAAGTAATGATTCAGTTTTAATTAACCACTCCATAATTGTACAACTTTACTTAGGGAGTAACTAACAGACCAAGTAAGGATCCAGTATTCAGTTACTCAGTATGAAGCACCACTTTATCTGAAGGGCCCCAAAATATTAAGTAATCATAAGGTAATGATAAAGTACTGTGGACTACTGAGTAACTAATAAGTGTTATGTATCACTACTCGGGTGCATATAAACAGTAACTAATGTTTAGGTAATTATGCATTCATTCATTAAAATGCAAAGAATTGTAACAGTCACCAGCATTTTATTAAGGCCATGCCCCCAAACCTGTCTGGCAGAGCTTGGACTCATGACCTTACTATTTCTAAAATCCTGGTTAAGGACCTGTTTTAAACAGGGTCAAAGTCCCACCCCTGCAGTTCTGTTTAGCTGATTAGGAGATAAGCAACAGCTCAGTTCATGTGAGCCGAGAGGCTGTTTAACATCTGATCACAGCTGCACAGGACTTGCAATCAGCTTACTGGAGAAGGTGAGACCTCAACAGTAAGAGTGTTGTTATTCAACATAACAATTGAAGAGACTTATTTTTGTGCCAGCGGTTTTCTGCTGATTTTCCCCCTGACAAAAATGGGTTTTAGACGAGACACTATTTCCTCTACACATTTCATTTGTTTATCTAGTCTGTTAAAGTAGTCTAACGCTTAAATGCTGCTGCATGCTGTAGTGTTACTCTGAACATCAGTGCATTACAAGGTTAGGAGTTATACAGGCATATACAGAGTGTTGTTTGGCAGTCATGAAGTATGGAGGCACTGCTGGAAGGATCAGAGATTACTAATGTTTATAATACTGAGATAATGCAGAGATAATTATAATAGTAGACTTTGCATGTATATAGTCTGAATTTGTCATATTTGATAGTGGAAATAATGCTTGTTACAGGAAAAGCAGAAAACAACATTTACCAAACTCACATCTGGGTGGATTTCGAAAACACTTCACTAGTTCCCTTTTTAGCCATGCTAGCAGCGTGGATCTGTGGGTGACAATGTCAGACAGCTGTTCCACCATTTTGGTTCACATTCCCAACAGAAGAAAAACCTCCTGACTTTGGTCTCTTTTGATTTAGTGGCACCTTAAGCTGGCATATGTGCTTCAGAGTGAAATAGCTTTACAGGTATTGGATAAATTACCATGAAATGTGCTATGATTATTCCCTAGTGTGTGAAGTCTAATGCCTTTTGTGATCCTTGCTGTGGTATTTTCTATAGATATTCAAGGTCTCTAGAGAATACATTCAGATGAATTTAGTGATCCTCCATGCCACCATAATTGGGCCATAATGCAATCAACACATCCATTATTTTGGTTTATGAAAACATACCTGCAGAACTATCTTTAGTGTTAATTAGCAAACATTATTTACTGACAGTCTAAAGCAATTTGATAAATCTGGTAAATACTACCTACTAAACATTACCATCTTAGCATTGTGAGGGTCACAGAGCTGCTAGCAGGGCTGTAGACTCTTAGTCTTGTGTACAGACATGACACATTTCTGATTCTTCGTGTCCCTCCCTGCAGGAGTGCTCCACAATGGTTCGACGTGTGGCAGTGGTTGGAGCAGGTAGTTCTGGGCTGGCCTGTATCAAGATCTGTGTTGATGAAGGTCTGGAGCCTGTTTGCTTTGAAAGTAGCGATGACATTGGCGGTCTGTGGAAATTTAAGGTGAGCAGGGGCACCGTTTTAAAGAGTTTCCCACTCACATTGCAAAATTCGTTTGGCCCATACACTCGGCTCAAATACATTGAATTACAGTCAGATCTGGTAGCCAAATATGTCCCATAACCTAGCCATATCTCAGCCAACCTGTTGCCCTATGTTGGACCAGATAAGTTTCAGCACTGGTTTCAGATGTCAGCTTTGACTAAACCCTGCACTTCATTAATACACACACTTGCTGTATTTTGCCCAGGTTAAAAATCCCTCAAGTACAAACAAATATTGATTTTTCACATCACTGCAAAACTGTAAAATGTAACTTGTCAGACAATCTCTCTTCCTCTTCTCTGGTCCAACATAGGGCGAGATATGGAAATCACTGTATGGTCAAAGATCTTTCCCCCTCATCTAGAACAAGTCTTATTATAAGTCTTTATGATGATATATAAACAATGATTAACACAACAGCGTTGATTAAACAGTAAAGTGATCTTATCAGAGTGGTTTTCTTTTTATCCACAGGAGTCACCAGAGCCAGAGCGGTCCAGCATCTATCGCTCCTTGGTGGTCAACACCTCCAAAGAGATGATGTGCTACAGTGATTTTCCAATGCCCGCTGATTATCCAAACTACTTCCACAACTCCCAGCTGCTGCAGTATTTCAGGCTCTATGCTAAGCACTTTGACCTGTTCAGATACATCAATTTTCAGGTTATTCCAGTTTTATCAAGCCACTGCACAACATCACAGCATATTATGTGAAGTTGAATTTATAAATGTGTGTTTGTTTGTGTGTGTGTGTGTGCGTGAATGTGGCTACGAATGCTTCAGACCACAGTAAAGAGTGTCACACAAAGGCCAGATTTTTCTCTGTCTGGTCAGTGGGACATAGTGACCATTAACAGGGAAGGAAAGGAAGAGAGACACGTCTTTGATGCAGTTCTGGTCTGTTCAGGCCACTACACCCATCCGGTCCTACCACTGTCAGACTTTCCAGGTCTGTGAACAAATAGACTTTTCAAACCTTTTACAGAAATTGATGGAGGAGTAAGTGATAAGTAGGACTTTTCTGCACATTCCTGCAAATTTTTTTTATTTTTCTTTGATCTGTAGCATCATCTGTATCTCTCCAGGACATGAGACGTTTTCTGGCAGGTGTTTTCACAGCTGGGAATATAAAGATGCAGATGCCTTCAGAGAAAAGAGGGTGGTGGTGGTTGGCATCGGCAATTCTGGTGGCGATATTGCAGTAGAGACTAGTAGATCTGCAAAGAAGGTAAGGGAGCTCTATAGAGCTGTATAACCTTATTTTGTGAGCTTCTTACTACACTGCGAGTGCTAATTATCTCTCTGACAGACATTTCTCAGCACACGCGAGGGGGTCTGGGTGATAAGCAGGATGTCCAGTAATGGTCTTCCCCTGGACATGACAGCTATCACCAGGCTCAACAACATCCTCACACTGCTTCTTCCAAGTACTCTGGTGAACTGGGCAACAGAGAGAGCACTGAACCAAAACTACGACCACAGACTGTACGGCCTGAAGCCCAGACACAGGTAATACATTTTGACCTGGATCACTTATGTACCCCTCTGCTTCATGACCCCAGGCCACTGGATTTATTGTCTTTCCTGTCAGCTTCAAACACCTCTTTTTATTTCATTGTTTGTCTCATTTATTCTTCTATGTGATTCATGTTTAAAGCCCCAATTCATATTTTATGACCACAGATTTAAGTTGCAGCATAGTCAACTGTAAATGATTAGCATAGTGACTCAGTGTCTGTCACTTGTCTTTCATTTTTAGAGCATATTGTTGGGGGAGTTTCTACCCCAAAAGACATGTAGTAGGTTACTGTTGCCTGTGCCCTTAATCAAAATCTTGGCCTCAAAACTGGTGCTGGCCTTTAGACTTTTGCTGATTAGTCTGTTTGGGTCAAATGTGAAGGACAAATTACCCCATAGGGCTTAATAAAATATTCAGAACTAAAAAAAAAACCTGTTTACAGCCATGCTAGCAGCTCTGTGAGGCTATCAGGCACAGTACTGCTTTGAGCTAAATGCTAATATCATGCTAACATGCTTGTTGTATGTTGTGTTAACATGCTGTTTAGCAGGTATAATGTTGTGTTCACCCTCTACATTTATCTTGTTATACATATGTAAGATATTTAAGTCTGGATCAAAGTTGGACTGACTGATACTGATCCCTCGAGCCACACCGTTAGCATGGCTAAAAGGATTGCTGATTTAAACAAGCAGCAAACAGCAAAACATTAATAAATTAAGTTTGCTTTTGGTCTTTTGTTAAAAGAACTGTTTCTTAACTAGAGTTGGCTTTTGTTGGTTCGACTGCCATGTAATTTACATTTGATATAGATTGTTCCTTTAATACCATCACACATGCAAACATAAATATAGATTGATAAAATTTTATTCTCCTCTTTTTAAGTACCCATAATAAGTCTAATAGCAAGACTCAACTATTTTAGACAATATTTCATCAGTATTAATCTTGTTGATATGTGCTATAGATTATTTTCCGCATTCATTTCTGTGCAGTTTTATTTGATGATTTGCTTGGTGTCATCTGTGCAGACAAATAAATGACACTTGTTATTTTGAATGTCATATAGTCTTTGTAGCAAGAAAAATGGTTAACTCCTATTATTTCTTTTCTTTCTCAGATTTTTGGACAAAAGGCCTTTGATCAATAATGATCTTCCTGGTCAAATCCTTCAGGGAGCGCTCGTAATGAAGCCCAATGTGAAAGGCTTCAAAGACTCTGGAGTTGTATTTGAAGATGGCACAGTGGAGGAGAACATTGATGCTGTCGTCTTCTGTACAGGTTATAAAGTAAGCTTCCCATTTCTGCCTCCAGCTCTATCAGAGGGGCCTCACGGAGACATGACATTATACAAGTAAGTATATGGTGATTAGAGTTATATATAGCTAGGGCTGATTTTATTATGTAAAAAGGTAGATTGAAACTTCAAATTGCGCAATTAAAAACTCATTTACTGAAGTTGTAAGCGTCATATAGCACATCTAACTTATGGGTTGATGAGAAGATATAGATGTCTCTCTGTCAGTATGGTAAATATGTAGCTACCAACCAGCGTAGACTTCAGGAAGTCATTGCACCAAGAAATAGTCAAGCACCTGTTAAACCTTATACCACAAAAAAACACAACTTATTGTTTTTACACTTGAACACACACAATACAGCATGTTAATTAGTATGCTTTAGAGGTGCTGGTCCAACTTTAGACAGAGCCAGGCAAGCTGTTTCCCTCATTTAAAAAAGCCTTATCTACAGCTTCTTTTTGGTTTGTCCCTTCGTGGTTACTTTAAAAACATGGAGGTTCAGCATGGCAGACTCCACAGAAGTGGACCCGCTTCCTCTGTAGATAAAAACGACTCATTCTATGGTAACAAAAACATGATTCTTATTTTCAGGTTATTACGGTAATGAAAACATACTTATATTACTTATATATACATATATATATATATATACATTTCTGCTAATATTTCTGCCTTATATACAGGTCGTTTAAATTATGAACATTTTAAAATAATTGTAAAGCTTGTCATGATAAGTCAGGTACAGAAGGGCTGATGCTCCTGACGGTAGCCAACTTATAAAAAAGAATGGAGCTTGTATGTATTTTCCCTATTTTGAGTGAAACATCATTTCTTTTTAGATCTTAATTATGTTGTCAAATATCATTGTAATATATTATCATAATTTTAAAGGATCACCTTGTAGTTTTTTCAAATTTCAGGAGACTGTTTCCTCCTTCTCTAGTACAACCAACACTGGCCGTCATGGGTCTTTTTCAAACAAAAGGACCAATCATGCCCATTGTGGAAATGCAGGCGCGGTGGGCTGTGAAGGTCTTTGCCGGTAAACAATTGTGAGCTTTACATGTACTGTACTGTATACGCACAGTCACACTCAGGGTTAAGGAGCCAGACTGTGTTTTTATCTTTAAGGTCTGAGCAGTCTTCCATCCAAGGAGAAGATGCTGGCAGTCATTGAGTCTGAGACGAAGAGAAACATGAAAAGGTAGAAAATATCTTCACACTGATATCCTTTAGATGGTACAGTCAGATCATGTTCTTCCTTTAGAAAGCAACATTTTAGTTAAAATATGTTAATAATGGCAACAAATCCACTCTTCAATCTGGTTTTCTCAGCTACCCCTGCCACCGACAGGCTGCTCTCCAGGTAGATTACATCCCATACCTGGATTTTATGGCCAATGAGGTGAGTTCAGTTCAGCTTTATACAAAACTGTGTTACTATCTGTACAGTATGTCTAAGACACAAGCGTCATGATAGACTTCCAATCACAGGTCGGGGTTCGACCAAATTTTGTGACACTGCTCCTGAGAGATCCTGTGCTCTGGGTGAAAGTCTTCTTTGGTCCCTGCACTCCATATCAGTATCGTCTCACTGGGCCTGGACAGTGGGCCGGAGCCCGTCAGGCTATCCTCACTCAGTGGGAGCGGGTGGCTCAGCCTTTCAGAACCAGAGTGGTACCAGAACCAGAGAGCAGGCCATTTTCCTTCTGTTCTCCCTGGCTGCTCATATTTGGAGGAACTGTGATAACGGCTGTGCTTCTGTCTAACAATGAGGTTGTTCCAGTGCTGCATGGTCCAGCTCAGATTCTGGACAGGTGCAACATCTTCCTAAAGGACTCCTGGTTCACTGGTTAATGTAACAATATACACTATACATTATAGATCCACCAAAAGATGCAGTCAAAGAACAGGTCTGAGAATTCATGAAGTGATGTACTATATTTTCACCTGTCTTCTGATGTGGTTTACAAATGCTGTTTATGTAATAATATGAGATCATAAAATTGTGAAAGTAGTTTGCACTCTTCAGGTGTGTCAGTTTCAAAGGTCAGAGCAACCTGCACACTACAGTATGTAGAAAACCCAAAATTCAGGCCTACTGATGGTAGGAAAAACATTTATTCACAGTATGTGTCCAAGAAATATATTTTTTTGCACACAGTGGTAAACAGTCATATTCAGGTTCATGGTTCAGACAGACAGATAAAGTTCAAGATGTGCTTATATATGGTAAACTTTTAGTGTGTAAACCTTTGTGGATGTAAGGGACTGTATATTGGGGAGAAGAGTGACGGGTAGTAGTCTGTAGGTCACAGACTCCAGGATATCATTGGCTGAAGAGGATTTATAACAAAATCATGTAATTATATTATTTAAGTTTATGTTTTTTTTTTCTTCTGTCCATTTAACTTGTGGAATTATTTGTCAAATGGGCTACAGTTATTAAAAAGGTTGATCTGATATGGATTAAAGTACATTTAAATTACAGTTTACTTTAAGTTTTTGTAAAAGAAATACACTAATTTGTTGTTATATGATAAAATTGATATCACTCTCCTGTCTGTACACACAATATGTAGCATTAAGACAGGAAATGGGGAAACAGCTAGCCTGGCTCTGTGCAAAGGTACAAAGAAAGCTCACCAATTAACACGTATTTTGTTTGTCTAACCCATACACAAACCAAATAGTGAAGTTGCAGTTGTTTGGCAACCACGGTTGGGAGGGTTTCATTGAAGATATAATCTGATACAGTTAAATAAAGTAATCAATAACCTAATCCAAGTATCACAATATTAATGTAATGTGACTTGATTACTTTGGGATTACCTCAAGACCAAATATGCAAATAAAAACGAGAGAAAAGAAATATCAGTAAGATGTCATGTATTCTATAAGACAGCAGAAGAATGTAACCCTAGAAAATAAAATGGAAACCAAGATTTTTAGCCTCATTAACTTGTCCTCTACTCAGTGTATTTTTAAAGAAAAGGCACAACTTGCACTGTACCGCGATGTTGTTCCTCTTTTCTGCTTTAAATGTCCAGTGTGTAGGATTTAGTAGCATCTTTAACAGTGTAGCATTTTGCTCTCTTGCTTCACCCTGTGAAAAATGCGAATGGCTCTGTCTAGGCCATTATTTGGTTTGTCCATTCTGGGATACTGTACAAACATGACAGTTCAACATGGCAGCCTCCATAGACAGCCACCTGTGGAGTTGAATTATTTTTATTTTCAGGCGATGACACTATAACAGTTTTATTTATTCCAACAGATTCTCCTAAATGTTACACACTGGACCTTTAAAGACAAAATAATGGTACAATTTCCACCCAGTCAAAGCTTTTTAGGGAAAGAGGGACTCCCCTCCCTCTGACCTCCTCCTATTTCACACCCATTCAACCTGCACCCAAAACCCTCTCCATCCTCCTCCCCTAGACTTTCTCTTAATCAACAAAGTATATTTATCCCAGTCTGGCGGTCGGGATTTTCGATTTATAAGTTTGAAATTTTAATATTTGACTTCAAGCTAGAGCAGTGACACACCAATAGGCTGACAGGCTCTATGATGACAGGTTTGCTGAACCATCCAACCCACCCAGGACTAGCACCTGGTTGGTAATAAATGGAAGGAGGCCAAAGAGAGTGACAGGATCCTCAAAGACGAGGACAACGTAACGTCTACATTGTGTAACCAGCACTGTACCTTTATGAAAACAGAAGAAGGGCTCTGACAAGGACACAGTTTCACTTACAAGGTATTATGACTGATTAATCTCATAGAAAAGAGCTTCTCTCTGTGCTCAAATAGTTTACAGACATGACATTACGGTAAGATTATCATCTTTTAATCAGCTAGACTGTTTAGTTTGCATATAAAGAAAATTTGTTTTGTTTTTTTGGTTTGAGTATTTTATTTGGAAGATTAGACAGTTCACACAATCTTTGAAAATGTTAAAATGAAGACAGTTTAAAATGTTTTTTAGACAACAGAAGCCAATTGTATACAAATGTATAAAGTTGTTTATTTGCTCTTTTCTCCTCCACATTTGTTTTTTTTTAAAGAGTTTACTTTAATGTAATTGAATATATGTTGATTTGTCAGCAATAGCAAGAGTGGTAATACTGATTTATTATTTGTATGAGATTCAACATGGCTGTGGTGTAATTTTTAGAAGTACTTTTATTAAATTCCCTAAGATTGGAATAACACAGATTTCTTATTAAGATAATAATTTATTACCAAGAGTAAAACAGGTCCTGCATGTGACTTTGCAAAAAAAAAAAGATTTTAGCATCTCACTTTTATTTTGCTCCAATAATGCTTAAAATAGCCTCTACAATCAGAGAATGTCTGGCTGTCGGTTTGATCACTTGGTCTCGTGATGTTTTTACAGCGTTGTTTTACGTCTTACGGGAGGCAGTAAATCAAGTCATCATCTAAACACAACTTAACACTCACTCCACGTGTGAGTGTTGAGTAATATTTAAACTTTAACTAGCGTTGATAACCCTACATCAAGGAGAAATAGTCCACAGAAAAATATCAGCATCTGGGTTGGTTTCCTTTATAAACAATCAATACCAGGACTGGTGTAAGAATGTGAATGAGAAATATGTTGTATTAAGTGCTAACAAAAGTCCCAGATACAGAGGGTTTCAGTAGCCAAGCTGTCCAGTTTGAAGCACTTAAAGCCAATTATAGTGTTGGCTCATTTAGTCTGGTTCATTAGGCTGGTAAGATCACTTTCAATTACATTCTGCTGTCAAAAAAAAAGGTCAGGCCCCCATCAGGTTCAAGTGACCTTTATAATTTAGGCATTATGATTTACTTTCTTTTTTAAACCTTTTTTGTATCAAAAACTCATGGTGGCATCTGAGTGCATCACAATACACATCTCACATCTCCACTTTCATTCACTTTTCATGCAAGTCTGCTGGTTTCATTGTAAATATAGAGAAACTGACTCTCTTTCTCTGCTTCCTCTCCAGCACAGTTAATCTTGTTTAGTACTCATCTGTCTCATACCCAGCTTAATCTAATTATCCTTGACTGAAGCAACTATTATTTATAATGGACATTTACTCAAAAAACAAAGTCATACAGTAATCAACCTTAAACTGTTTTACATCTCAATACAAAACAACACACATTTCTTCTTCCACCTTTCTTCTTACTCCAGTTCCAACCTCTGTACCAGATCAGTCCCCACTGCCGTCAGTCGTTCTTCATCTCCAACATGGTTCAGAAGGTGGCAGTGATCGGTGCAGGGATTTCTGGACTAACCAGCATCAAGGCCTGTTTGGATGAAGGTCTAGAGCCCATCTGCTTTGAGAGCAGCCATGACATTGGGGGTCTATGGAGATTTAAGGTAAGGAAACATAGCTACAGTATAAGCTTGACAGTAGATTTGACAAAGTGTGCCTGAAAAACCTCTATGGGCTTAAACCATCAGTTTTTAAGCCTCACTAGTTGCTATTATAGTTACTGTAAATATGTGGTCCCAAAGTCATGACAGCAACATACTGAGTTATTAATGTGCTCTACTCAATTTAAAAACTCATCATATAAAGACAAATAAAGACTATTTATACTGCTGTCTCACATTGTCTGTCTGCAGGACGATCCAGAGCCTGGACGTGCTAACATCTATTATTCAGTGATCATCAACAGCTCCAAAGAGAGGATGGCCTTCAGTGACTTCCCTCCACCAGCTGAGCTTCCCAACAACATGCACCACTCCGAGATGCTGCAATATCTGCGTCTCTACGCTCAGGCCTTCAAACTGATGCAACACAT